TACATTTAGAAGACTTTCTAAATGCAACCACAACCCTCTAGAAAATATGCCAATAGCAATATATAGGAATGCCTATTTTTCAAATTTACACTTTCATTTTACAATTTGCCTTTTAATTTTTACCATTGACATCCTAAGTATAATCCAAGGCTACAGGCATGTGGATGCAAATTAGGTATCATTAACTATAATGTTTATATTAGTTGGGATTAGGCTGAGGGATATTGACAGGAGGACCACCATAAAAGAGGCTTACATAAGAGGGAAGTAGAGTAATATTTCCCATAGATGTCCGTGTAGGTAGTCCTTAGCTAACGCGACATCAGGCATGGGTTCAACAATGTCAGGTACCTTAACTCCATCCTGTTGACTCTCTGTACTTGGCCCATGACCTCCCTGTTCAAAAACAGCATCATTTGAGTTCCAGGAAGAAGGATAAAAGCAGACACAAATAAGAAAAAGGCAAATGGTGTATTTGGGTTCTCCTTAAATAAAAGTTACCTAGGAGTGCTACATGATACTTTCACTTTCATCCTACTACCCAGCACTTAGATACCACCCGACCTAGATGAAAGGGAGGCTGGGAAATGTAGTTGGTCCTCTTTCTGGCAATCTTGTGCCCAGGTAGAAATTATTTTACTGTGGTGAAAGAAGAGTGTATTGGTTTGCTGGGGCTGCCATAACAAAGTTCCACAAACTGGTGGCTTAAATAACAGAAACATAATGTCTCAAAATTCTGGAGGCTAGATGCCGAAAATCAAGGTATCAGCAGGGTTGGTTTCTTCTGAAAGCTATGAAAGAAGGATCTGTTCCAGTCTCTCTTCTTGTCTTGTAGATTGCTATCTTTTTCCTATGTCTTTTCATATCATCTTCCCTCCTTGTGTATCACTTTGTCCAAATTTCCCATTTTCACAAGGACACCAGTCACATTTCATTATGGCCCAACCTAATAACCTCTCTTTAACTTGCTTACTTTTGTAAAGACCCTGTCTCCAAATAGCTCACATTCTAAGGTCCTGGCATTGAGAACCTCAACAATGAATTTTGGAGGGACACAATTCAACCCATAACAGAGAACATAGATATTGGGGGACAACTTGCAGACTCTACTAAAATGTCCAACTTAAGAAGGCCCTTAGTTTGTACCCAAATGATTGGAGAACCTTCCTCCAGCTATCCCTTGCCCAAGTCAGTTTATGAGACCTCACAGGGATGAATCAGCTCCATTCCTTCCTCCCCTCCCCTCCCCTCCCCTCCCCTCCCCTCTCCTCTGAATCAACTCTATTTTCTCCTCTCCTCTCCTCTTTTTTCCCTCTCAATTCCTTTCTCTTTATTTATTTATTTATTTAGACAAGGTCTGGCTCTATTTCCCAGGCTGGAATGCAGTGGCATGATCTTGGCTCACTGAAACCTCTGCTTCTTGGGCTCAAGCCATCCTCCCACTTCAGCTTCCCAAGAAGCTGGGACTGTAGGCACACACCACCATACCTGGCTAATTTTTGTATTTTTTTTAGAGATGAGTTTTCACCATGTTACCTAGGCTCGTCTCGAACTCATAAGCTCAAGTGTTCTGTCCGCCTCAGCCTCCCAAAGTGCTGGGATTACAGGTGTGAGGCAAGCTCCATTTTTTCTTTACTTTTACTTATCAAGGCACCTCACCTGATCCACCTATCTGTTGCTCATGAATGTTTTTAATCTGTGGCATAGGGTGTGTGCGTATGTGTGTGAATGTGTCTCACTTTGTTCCCAGGGCTCCCGATTGGCACTACTTGTGTCCCAAGTAATACTACTACTGCTAACAGTAACAGTTAACCTTTACTATGGGCACACTATATTCTAGGTGCTTTGCTTAACACTTTATATGCATTCTTCTTTTTTTTTTTTTATCAGTAGTTGGACACGAATATGTACATCATTTTATTTGAGATTCAGAACAACTTTATTAAATAAATGGTAGTTTTATCCTATATTCAGTAGAGGAAACTTAGGTATAAGAGTTTATGCAACTTGTCCAAGGTAATGTGGGTTAGTAAGTGGTGGAGACATAATTGGAATCCTGGTCTGACTCTAGACCCTGTGTACTTAATCACTACACTACTGCACCTCCAGAAGTCTTTCACCAACAAAGAAGCTATAGCATGGCTGTATACACTATATATAGTATATGGCTCTACACACTGTCTCTTGTTCAGGGCATAAAACCTCATGCTGGCTTGGAAGACAGATGCTTTACTATCTCTTTTAGTCTGCATTTCACTTCCACTTTTCTTTCTCTTCCACAAGCATCCGATCCATCATCAACTTCTATAGGTCTTAGTTCCAAAATATATTTTGACTCTTTCCATTTGTATTTAGTTCCTGCCACTACCACCTATCATCTAAGCCCCTGAAATTCCATAGTCTGGGGGTACAAACTGGGTCATACTAACTCTAATGTCTATAGTAGTGTAGTTAGAGTGAGTTTGGAGTAGTCTCCAGATTGGTCCCCCTTCTTTTGCTCATGCATTCTAAGATCTGTTTTGCATAGTATAACTATTTTCCAGCGTATAACCATTTAATAATGTAAACCACATTATGTCAATTTGCTGGTCAAAATCCATGCCCACATCTCTGGTGTCTTTAAGGCCTGCCCAGCCACAGAGGCCTTGCGTCATTATCCTGAATAAGGCAGGCTTTCTCTTGCCTCAAGGCTTCTGCATTCTGCTCATAACTATTTTCCCCTAGATGTTGCCTTTATGTCTTTTCAGCCTTTATGCCTTAGTATAAATGCAATTTATTAGCTAGGTGCTTTTTGACCAATCCAAGATATATTTCTAGCATCCATCTCTATCAGTATATTTAATCATCCTAATTGTGTACTTGTTCATTATCTAAGCACTCCATCTTCCCTGAAACCAGAAAGTAAATTATTGTCCACTGCTTGCATTCCCAGTCATTAGAGCATCTAATCAATGGTAGATGTTTAAACAAATTGTTAAAGGAGTAAATGAATGAATTTCCCAAGCATGGTGTACAAAACTCTTTCCTGCTTCCACCTCAAAACAAACAATCTCAAGGAAACTACCTTCAGAAAAAAGCAACAAATTAACTATTTCACAAATAGTAAGCTTGAATTCCAGTTTCAGCTCAGCAAGTGCACACAGTGGGGTTTACCTGAGATCTTTGAACATCTCTCCCAACTGTAAGCACTGACCTATATCACCTATCCAGCACTATATAGCAGGCTAGTTGGGTTTTAGATGCAGACCACATCTCTAAGGCAGCGACAGTTCACTAGGAGGGTAACTTTCTGGAACCCACTAGACTTTCTGGAACCCACTAGGCTTTGGCTAGATAACAGGAGAGCAAAGAAGGCCATGTACAAGGGAATATAATGCCATTTCTATGTGCCAGACCAGACTTCCTTTCAAGAACTTTACATGTGTCAACTTACAACAACCCTGCAAATTTTATGCTGTCATTATAATAAATCACAATTGGTTATATTATAACCAATTATAATATTATAATTTTATATTACCAATTTTATAAAATTGATAATTTAATACACACATATGGATTACACACATAAGAACATCCTCTTAAGGCTGGACACGGTGGCTCAAGCCTGTAATCCCAGCATTTTGGGAGGCTGAGGCAGGCATTTCACCTTAGGTAAGGAGCTTGAGACCAGCCTGGCCAATATGGTGAAATCCCATCTCTACTAAAAACACAAAAAAATAGCCTGGTATGGTGGCGTATGCCTGTAATGCCAGGTATTCTGGAGGCTGAAGCAGGAGAATTGCTTGAACCCAGAAGGTGGAGGTTGGGTGAGCTGAGATTGCACCATCACACTCCAGTCTGGACAACAGCAAAACTCCATCTCAAAAAAAAGAAGAAGAAGAAGAAAGAACATCCTCTTACTAATCAAAGGGCAAATATTAAGCATTGTCTCTCTTTCAGGTTAACTATTTTAGAAGCCAATTTGTTACAGGCTAAATTTTGTCCCATCCAAATTCAAGAGAAAAGATCAAATTCTTCTTAGTACTCAGTGTTGCTTGAAAGATAAGTTAGGATCTAATCCTGTGTCCTCTGACTAAATCTTGGGCCCTGCTGGATGTGTCATTTTACCTTAGTCATCTGTTATGTGGCCTTAGGTAAGCTATCTCACCACAGCATGCCTTTCTTTCCTCAGCAGGGGTAGTCAAGCATGCAGACTGAGACCACCATTTCTGGACTCAGACCAGTAATTTTGTAACTTCTATCTATGCAACCTTGCAAAAGATATTACTTCAAGTTTATTTTGGACTTTGGACTTAGTCCAACGTTAACAGCATGCCTCTAGAGTCTCTGATTTTGTTTAACTTCAGACTGGGCATCTTATTTAGCTTAGGTTAGTGATTTTTAGGGTTGCCAGATAAAATATAGGATACCCAGTTAAATTTTAATTTCAGATAAACAAATAATTTTCAGTATAAGTATACCCCATACAATATCTAGGACATACTTAAAACAAAATACTTTTGTTTATCTGAAATTTCACATTTAACGGGACGTTTGGTATTTTCATTTGCTAAATCTGACAACCCTAGCGGCTTCTCTGATCATGTTTGTTTTCTGCAAATGGAGCCGAAAATAGCACTTTCTCCCTAAGATAATCTATATACAGAACGCTGCTCATGGCAAAACTTTAATTTACCTTGCAAATCAGGATATTTTGGTAGAGACTTCGTTAAAACTCTGGGACAAAGACCATGCACGGGCACCCAAATAGAGGGTTACCTTTAGTCAACGGTTTTCTAAAGAGTACAGAGAAAGCTTAATAGAACCCGGAACAAACTTACAAACTGCGTTGAAAGATATGTACACTTGCCTTCAAAGTAACAGCACAGGGGGTATCTTAGCCACATCCCTGCAAACTGCAAACGCTCCTTAGTTATCGAGAGAGCGGTGGCTGGGTCTCTGCGCAAGCGCACAGGGACTCCTTAGTTCCACGCCCGGCCCCTCCCCTCCAGAGAGAGTCACGTGGGCGAGCCGCGGCTTAGGACGCGCGGCCAGCCTTGTCACGTGACCCACGCCCCTGCTTCTCTCAGGGATGGAGCCGGAAGAGGGGACGCCCCTGTGGCAGCTGCAAAAGCTGCCGGCCGAGCGGGGCCCGCAGGTGAGGGGGTGTCCCTGAGTAAGCGGCGCGGGGCCGGGGCTTTGGGACGGTGTGGCTTGCAGGTCAGGCCTGGTGCGACCCAGACGCCTTTGCAAGCTCCCTGGAGAAGGGAGGAGGAAGGGGCGTGATTTCGGGTGTTCGGTCCCCGCCTCCTCTGGGGAACTTGGGAGGACAGCTTGGGGCCCCACCTCTGCGCCCTGGCCTAGAGGTGCAGCTCCAGGCGCTTTCCGCGCAGAAGCGCCTGGAGGCGCCCGCCTCCGACTGGGCTTTGAAAGCTTATGACGTCAAGTCGGTGTTTGCTGCCTCTTTGCAAACATTTTCTTCATTCATTCAACACAAACGTACCTGGCAGCGAGCACAGTGCTAGGTGCTGGGAATACTAAGCGGCGTAGACCGAAGCGGACCCTGCCCCCCGTTGAGGGTGCTTCGAAGGAAGCGAAATAACTGGGAGAGTTACTTTAGTTAGAGTCGTCCCAAGAGGTGATTCCAGTCTATCAAAGAACCTGGCTTGTAAGAATCTGGAAAAAGCAACCTCATTCATTTGTTCAGCCAGTTTTTCTTTGAAGTCTACCATACATTGAGCGCCCAGATGGGATGAGGTAAAATGGTGAGTGAGACAGCCTGTGACCTGGTGGAGCATCTTTTTTATGAGCCCCAATTTTGATCTTCCTGTTTCCTCTATTCCACTTACACTGGAGAAAGTGTGGGAGAGACAGAAAGGAATTAACTTACTTCCTGCCAGGATCAAGGAAAAAAAAAAAAAAAAAAACACCCGAATTCTTTTCTCTGATTTTGCAAGTGAGGAAGCTGAAATGTCCGCAGAAATTTTGGGTTACTTGCCCAGGGTTGCCCAGCCAGTAAGTGGCAAAGCTGGATTTTATACTCAGATCTATTGATTCTGAGTGTTTTGTTGGCTTTTGGCTCTCCTTGTCTTCATTCTACACATTTAGACATTTAGATAAGGCCCATAACCTTTTCTACCATGTATGTTGATGACTCCTAAATCTCTAGGTCCAGCCAAAAATTTCTTCCTCTATGATTCAAGAACGTAAACCCAAACCAGACTCTCTTCTCTGAGTGTCAGCCTTCTGCCACAGGTACCTCAAATTCAGTGCACCCTTGCGTGAGCTCTTCTTTCCCCCTGGACCTACTCCTCCTGTAGCCTCCTTTTCAGTTTGTGGCACCATCACTTTCACCCAGCCACTCAACCTGCCATTCTAGGTCTCCTTCATGGCCTCTTCACATCTCTTCTCCCTTGTCCTCAACAATTTAGGCGCCTTAATCTTTAGCTCCTTAACTGAAAATGGAAGCCTGTAGGCTCACCCTCTCTCATCTTCTCTTACATCTTCCAATCTGTTAAATATATGGAAATATAATGCAGATATGTGAATAGGATTGTTCCCGGTTGAGCACAGATTGAAGTCTAGGCTCTTTTGCTTTGTACACAAGGCCCTTTTTGGTTTGGTTTCACCCACCTCTCCAGCCTTGTCTCATGTCACTCCCTCGCCCCCGAAATAGCCTGCTATTCCCTAAATCAAGCAGTGTGATTTTACAGTTTTCATCCTATGGATATGCCAATGCTTGTGTCTAGAAATGCCCTTCTCTCCTGTTTGCCTGGCAAACTACTCATCCTTTTAAGACAGCCTTTTCCTTGCTTACTCTCTGAGCTCCTTTATACCTTCTATATACTTTTATTATGGTCCCATCATTCTAAATTGCATGTATTTATATGTTTGCCTTTTTCTAATGGACTAAAGCTCTGTTATGGTAGGGCCTTACTTTATTTATTCTCAGTTTCCTCGTTTGTAAAATGGGAATAATAAAATAGTTACTTTAGAGTTGTACTGAGGATCAGTCCAGAGCATGGTACCTAGTTAGGGCCCCATAGTGCTAGCTATTATGGTGTCTTTGCCATTAAATAAGGTCATTTCTATGACCTTGTTTAATAACTGGAATGAAGTGTTCATTGCATATTTGTGAATGAATAACATATTCTAAAAAAGATAATGCTTTTATTTTTCAGTTTGACTTCTGGGTTTTGCTTTAGCATGGGGACGATATAGGATAAGGTATAGAGAATTTGAATGCCAATTCAAATTTGAGTATGTTGTTTGATTTATGGTTAATAAAAATTAGTTGTATAGTATATTAGCCACCATTTGGAAACAGTTGCTTGTGTTCTGGTATGTGTGGTGTTAGAGGGAAGGAGTTATCCATTAAAATGGGGTGGAATATGATCTAGGGGAGAAGAGTTGGAAGACTTGTTGATTAGATATCATTTCCAAGTTATTTGGTTCAAATACTCCTCTTGTAAGATACGAATATCTCCTGAGAAACATAACCTTATTAAATGTTAAGTGCCTAGAATAGTACTGGCATTGTGTTATCTCAGTTAATAGATGTTGAAGGCATGGATTGTAGGAGGAGGAGGAGTGATAATAATGAGAAGAAGAATGGTAATGCAGGCTAGCAATGTCTACATGTCTTTTTACATGCCAGGAAGGTGCCGAGTTATTTGCATATATTCTTATTCAATCCTTACAACAAGATTACGAGCATAGATGATATCCTGATTTAGCACTAGAGGAAACAGACTCAGAACATTTAAATCAAACTTAAAAATACTGAAACTGGGATTTGAACTGATAGTTTTATTCCAAAATTCACAGTCTTATCTCACTATGTTCAGTTATACATATGTTAGGCTTTCCATTGCTGATATGAAGATACTAATAGGATAGAAAGGAATGTAAAAAAAGGAAAAAATTACTGAAGACTTCCTGGGAATACAGAAAAGTAACTGCTGAGCTGGGTGTGGTGGTGCTCGCCTGCAGTCCTAGCTACTTGGGAGGCTGAGATGGGAGAATTGCTTGAGTTCTGGAGTTCAAGGCCAGCCTGGGCAACATAATGAGACCCTCAAGAGAAAAAAAATGTATCAACGTTACGAAAATGGAGGCAAAGCAAAATGAAGCTTATAGGCCTACAGTAAGAGACTTTGATGTAAGTCCTGTCCTTTGGTCAATGCTGTAAATATGATGTCTTTTATACATATCTTCGTTTCAGTTTTTTCATTATGTAATTTTTATAACATAAAAATTATGTTTTATAACATAAAAATTAGTTTCTGAAGGTCGACATAATAATAGAAAGTCTAGGATTTTTATGAGATTTAATTTTTAATAAGAATAATCTTAAAAGTGGTTTATACATTTTAACTTCAGCTGGTCTTGCAGTTAACATGAACATCTCTTAACATTTGTTTGCTAAAAGGAAGATAAATTTGTTTTATCATTTTACTTATAAGTACATTTATTTCCCTTTTTCTTGCTAGCTTCTTCACAAAATAATTGATGGCATTTGTGGTCGAGCTTATCCTGTGTACCAAGATTATCACAGTGTTTGGGAATCAGAAGAATGGATCCACGTTTTAGAAGATGTTACCAAATTTTTCAAAGCTGTAGTTGGTAAAAACTTACCCGATGAAGAGGTAACTTCTCTGCACATTTCTATAACTTTAATAATTAATGCTTAGGTTTCTCTTTGAGTTTTTTAGAGCACTGTATAATACAAGGGCCATCATCAATAACAACAAATACCTCATAATTGCGGATGGAAAAATCTGTGGAAGTCCTAGGTTTTTGCAGTTTATTTTTGGTTGTTTTTACTCTTTTAATTGTGAAACATTTAAAGCCTACAGAAGAAAACAAGAAGTTATATAACTGTTACCTACATTTCCATTACCACAGTTAAACGGTGTTAACATTTTGCAATATGTGTGTTTGTTTCAGAAAGAAAGCATTACAGAGACACCTAAATTCCCCTCTCCCTCACCTAGATATCCCACCCTTACCTAGAGGTCACCATCTTGAAGGTGGTGTTCATGTTTTGTATTATATGTTGTATGTATGTTTGAATCTTTTAGTATATTGAATTATTTGGGGTGTTTAAGTGTATAACTTGTAAATGTAACATATGTATGCACTTGTAAATTGTTTTAAATGCAGCATTTTGTTTTACATTGATAAACATGAATCTAGTTTGTGTATTTTAACTCCTTTTAGTATTTGATGATAGGAATTACATAAGATTTATCTCCCTCCTGACTAACAGTTAGTCGTTGCTTCTCTTGTTATTACAAACAGTGCTGCTATAAACATTCTTTACTACCTGTCTCCTTGTGCACACTCAGACCTGCTTTTCCGGGGTAAATATCTTGAAGTGAAATTGCAGGGTCATGGGATATCCTTCTCCCACTGAATTGTTCAAAAATCATTTGAGCTTATTTGTGTAGGTTGCTCACTTTTCTAAAAATGGAGTTATGTATGTTTGTCATATTGATTTGGATGATATTCTGGATATGAGCTCATTGCTAGAAATATGTATTTTAAATATCTTCTGTTATGTGCTTGCCTTTTACTCTCTTAATGGTGTCTTTTGGTGAAACAACTTACGAAATTTAACAAGTCCACTCTGTCAATATTTCTTTTGCTGGCTAATGCTATTACTGTTTTGTTTCAGAAATATTTGTGCTGAAGACATGAAGATTCTTGGTGTGTTCTTGTAGAAGCTTGATTGTTTTAGGTCTCACATTATGTCACTGATGCATTTTGAATTAGTATTTGTGTATGGACTGGAGGTCAAGTTCAAAATTTTCTAATGAATATCTGGTTGACCATTTATTGAAATAACCATCCTTGCACCACAATGTTGCCATGTAGCCTTTATTGTAAATCAAATGGCCACATAGGTGTGCCTCTGTATCTGGACTCTTAACATCCTCCATTAGTCTACTTTTGTATATTTGCCAATCCTACACTGCTTTGATTACTATAGAATTAAAGCTAAATTAAATTATGTCTTGATATCTGGTAATAGAAGACCTTCATTCTCATGCTTCTTTGGGATTGCCTTGGCTGTTATATTTTCAGATAACACTCTAGAATCTACTTTTCAGTGTTAACCTACAAAATTGCTGGAATTTTGACAGAGATCACACTGAATTGCTATATCATTTGTGGGGAGAATTGACATCTTAACAACATTATCTTTCCAAGGCTATGAATATGGCATGATAACCCTCTATTTATTTAGATTAGCTTTAGTTTCTCTCGCATATTTTGTAGTTTTCAGTGTAGAGCTCTCACAATATTTTTTATTTCTAAGTGATGTTTTGATCTTTCATTTTTCAGTAGTGTTTTGCTAGTATGTACGAACAGTTGATTTTTATATATCTTATGTCCCACAGCCTTTCCAAATTTGTTTACAGTGTCTAATTGTGTATAGATTTTTTGGGGGGGACAATTGTATATAATCATTTTCTTTTTCAACTTTAACATCTTTTACTTATTTTTCTTACCTTAGTGCATTGGCTAACACTATCAGGCAATGTTTCTTATGAAAAAGCAGTGATGGTAGACATATGTCTATTCCTAACCTAAGGGAGAAAGTGTTCGCTATTTCACCATTTAGTGTGTTAGCTCTGTGATTTTATAGATCTCCATTATCAGACTAAAGAAGTATCCTACAATTCTAACTTTGCTGAGAATTTTTAATCATGGTTGGGTATTGAATTTTATCAAATGCTTTTTCCCTGAATTTATAATTTTTTATAATTTTTTTAAATGTGATTTTCAAATGTTAAACTAAGGCTGCACTGCCCAAATAAACCCCACTTGATCATGATGTATTATTTTTGTATATATGTCTCTTCATTTGGACTGCCAATATTTTGTTTACGATTTTTGCATGTATATTTTAGTGATACTGGCCTAGGTGGGTTTTTTTTATAGTTTTTTTTTTTCCTCCCTATAATACTCTTGTCAAGGGGTCAAGTTTTATTCTGGCCTCATGGAATGAATTTGGAAGGATTTTTTTTTTTTTCTTCTTGTCCTCAGGAAGAGTAAGTGAAATTGATATTATTTATTTATTTAGTGTTGCGTTACTTAATTTTCACACATGTAGAAATTTTTTGATTATCTTTTCTCATTAGTTATGACTTCATTACACAGTAATAAATATATAAACAATATTATTTCAGATTTTGAGTCTGTTGTGGTTTGCTAAATGGCTCAGCATATGGTACATTATGGTGAATGTTGCATATGCATTTATAAATAATGTGTATTCTGTAGTTGTCATATGTAGTATTCTGTATATTGCTAAGCTTAGGTAGAATATGTTTTTCAATTTTTCTATATCTTCATTGATTTTTTTGTTATTTCTTTCTGTCAGTTATTGAGAGTTGTAGTAATACCTCTAATTGTGAAGTGGATTTATTCATTTCTTTTAGTACTGCCAAGTTTTGCTGCTTTATATATTTTGAAACTATGCTGTTAGGTACACACAGATTTATGATTGTATGTCTTTCTGTTGAATGGCCCTTTTACTATCCTTCTCTACTTGTTGTAATATTTCTTGCCTTAAAGGCTACATTGTCTGATATATTAATATAAGTTGAGTACCCTTTATTTGAAATGCTTCAGACCAGAAGTGTTTTGGATTTCGGATTTTTTTTGACTTTGTAATATTTGCATTATACTCACCAGTGTAGCATCCCTACTCCAAAAATCTGAAATCTGAAACCTCAGCTATTCAAATGAGTCCTTCCTTTGAGCATCCTGTCAGTGCTCAGAACTTTTTCCATTTGGGATTTGAGATACTCACCCTGCGTGGCTGTATCAGCTTTTGTGTTTTCCAGGTGTATTCATTTTTGTGCTGCTTCTTCCATCAGTCCTTTTTCTTTACTCTTTATTTTGCAGAAATTTGTTAAAATCCTATTTTCTGGTTACTCATTCTCATCTTTTTCTTTTTTATAATTACAGAAGTATTTCTTTTTTCTTTTCCTTTTACTGTTGTTTTAAAAGATGTGTAAANAGAGTGGAATTGTGTTTTTATGTTTTAAACAGAAAGCCTCTTTTGCCTATTTTTATTTTTATAGATACTTCAGCAATTGAATCAGTTGAATTCATCTCATCAAGAAACTATCATGAAATGCGTGAAAAGTAGGAAAGATGAAATCAAACAGGCTCTGTTAAGAGAAATAGTTGCTATTTCCTCTGCACAGCTACAGGATTTTGATTGGCAGGTAAAGGTAAGAATCTATTTATGAGTATGCGTGTTTTTATTTCATTTTTTAGATACAGAGAAATATCTTATATTATATATTTAAAATTTGTTGTTTTGGGAATGTATTATCCCCAATAAATATCAAAGATAGTTTAAATTACATCTTGCATTAACTTGGGCATAAGTACACTACAAACATCCAAGCCATATATAATAACATTACATTGACAATAAATTCAATTGATAATAAATTCAATTAGATCTATAAAACATTAAATGATATAAGTGATGGGGAAGCATATAGTCAACATATATGTGTGTATGTGTGTGTGTGTGTGTGTGTGTGTGTGTATATATATATATTTTTTTTTTTTTTTGAGACAGAGTTGTGCTCTGTCATCCAGGTTGAAGTGCAGTGATGCGATCTCGGCTCACTGCAACCTCTGTCTCCCAGGTTCAAGCCATTCTCCTGCCTTAGCCTCCTGAGTAGCTGGGACTACAGGCACATGCCACCATGCCCAGCTAATTTTTGTATTTTTGGTGGAGATGGGGTTTTGCCATGTTGACTAGGCTGGTCTCGAATCCTGGCCTCAAGTGATTTGCCTACCTTGGCCACCCCCTAGAGTGCTGGGATTACAGGCTTACAGGCGTGAGCCACCACACCTGGTCAACATATATTTTTGACCACAACTTTCTAGACTTTATAGCTTTCTTAATACTGGTAAATGTGATTCTTCCTCTAGAAGGAAAACCTATAAGTTATTAAAACATGAGTTTTAAATACATTTTGGAGAGTCACTATCAGTAGGGTTTATAAAGAATAATTCCAGACCAACTTTTTGTCCTTATAAGATACCTAGACTAGTGGCTGAAGAGGAAGCAAACACATTGTGTTTCTTGATTTTAGCATGACCCTAATTAAGTGCCTTACATTGTGTATCTAGATTAAGTAGAGAAAAATGTGGGAGGATATAACAGGTGGGTTCATAATTGGATAAATAACTACCCAAGGACAGATGAATTTATATTAGCTAAGAAGTCTCTGTGGTTCTGGTCTTGGCCCAGACACAAAACTAGAGAAACAACAAGCATATAATGTGACACAAAGTTCAAAATTATTTCACAGCCAATTATAATCAGTGACCAAATGAAGCAAAATTGCATTAATCAGGCAACCTAAACAGAGGATTTTTAATTTAAATCTTTATTTAAATTTTATAAATTTCAGTTTCAGATTTTATATTTTTATAAATATAAAAGATAAGGGAGGCCAGGTGTGGTGGCTCATGCCTATAATCCCAGCATGTTGGCAAGCTGAGGCGGGTGGATCACTACAGGCCAGGAGTTTGAGACCAGCCTGACCAACAAAGCAAAACTGAATATCTACTAAAAAAATACAAAAATTAGCTGAGCATGGAGGTGTGTGCCTGTAGTCCCAGCTACTTGGGAGGCTGAAGCACAAGAATTGCTTGAACCCAGGAGGTGGAGGTTGCAGTGAGCCAAGTTCATCATGCCACTGCACTGCAGCCTGGGCAACAGTGCAACTCTGTCTCAGAAAAAAAGTAAATAAATAAAAGATAAGGGAGAGATGTTAATAGTAGCATATATGAGAAATATTTAGTTATTTTAGTTTATCAAAGTATAGCTTCATTAGTGTTGATTCAGGCTCATGTTTTATGGGTAGAAATGCAGTTCTTCAAGCAAGAGATAGTACTAGCACATTCTGTTTTCGATGATGACATCTTTTTAGTGTAATATAATCTTTTTAGTTCTGGCTGCCAAACTTAAGAGAGATTTAAGGAAATTGGACTCCAACTAGAAAAGAATGACTAGAAACTTAAAATCATGGTGTGTGAAATTGCTTTGAAACACTGAGACCATGCACCTGGAAAAGATTAAACCTAGTGGAAACATGACATTTATCTTTAAAACGCTAAAAGTCATAGGGGGGCTCTATGACTTTGTGGCTCCAGAGACTAGGAGAAGGCCTAAGGTATATTATTTGCAATAAGATGGGTTTCAATTCAACCTAGGGAAGGACTTTTTAATAAATATGAGTATCTGGAAATGATTGTAACCTTTTCTCGTGGTAGCACGTGCCTCATCATTGGTGGTATTCAAGCATAGGCTGAAGAAACATTTATTGGAAATATTGAGAAGAAGAATTATGCATGAAATAGATAACCCAAAGCTGATACTTCCAGTTTTGGGATGAGAGAATGGAGGAGCTATGTCAAGATTTGATTCTGTGTGTATGTACCACAAGGGAGACCCTTTGAGGTTGTTAAGGGACATGTCTCTTATCATTGTACAAATAATCTTTTTGCAAGTGGTAGCATTCTAAACAAAGGTTCAGTTTTTGTGGATTTCTCTGACTCAGATTCCAGGAAAATTGAATTTCCCTATGCTGTCTGCCAAGGATGCTACATTGCTCGTTTCAAAAAGTATTAGTATTATAAATATTTGGTTCTTCCAATTCCCCTAGGATATACTCCGGAGAAGGAAATTAAGAAGTGAGGTAAATGTACAGAATGTTTCTGTCCAGTGGCTATAATTGAAGATGATATCTTGATAACATATTTATCAGTAGTGTAGTAGTTAGCTAGCTGACCATGGATTAAGCATTTTATTTATTTATTTATTTATTTTTTTGAGACAGAGTCTTGCTCTGTCGCCAGGCTGGAGTGCAGTGGCACAATCTTGGCTCAGTGCAACCGCTGCCTCCTGAGGCCAAGCAATTCTTCCGCCTGGCTTCCTGAATAGCTGGGACCACAGGCGCGTGCCACCACACCCGGCTAATTTTTGTATTTTTACTAGAGACGGGATTTCACCATGTTGGCCAGGATGGTCTCGATCTCTTGAGCTTGTGATCCGCCCACCACGGCCTCCCAAAGTGCTGGTATTACAGGCGTGAGCCACTGCACCTGCCCGGATTAAGCATCTTAATTTCTGAGAGTTTACCAATATTTTTGGTCTCACTTGTCTTTGCACATGAACTTTTTTCTTCTTGGTGCCTTTAATCTTCCTTAAGAATTCTCTATGTTTCTTGCATCTTAGACCTATTCAGTACTTCCCAGGCATGACTCTGACCTAGATATCTGCTTCTGCCACAAGATTGCTGATTGGTTGTCTTATTTTCTTACCCATTTCCTCTCCTTTATTTGCTCTTCTTTCTCTTTCTATTCTTCAAATACGTTTTAGCATGAATTTAACTTTTCTTTCACCTTTCTCTATACTTAATGGCAAACAGGAGTACTTTTAAAAAATCTACTGCTAACTAACCCCTGATGCATATTCATTATAGTTCTTTATTATTAATTGCTATTTTTCTAATTTTAAACAGCTTGCACTCTCCAGTGACAAGATTGCTGCATTACGAATGCCACTTTTAAGCCTGCATCTAGATGTAAAAGAAAATGGTGAAGTAAAACCATATTCTATTGAAATGAGTAGAGAGGAACTGCAGAATCTAATACATTCCTTGGAAGCAGCATATAAGGTATTTGCCATAATTTTGTCATATGATTTGAATGTTTAAGGTTTTTGGGTTTCATTGAGTTGGAGTCTTGCTCTGTTGCCCAGGCTGGAGTGCAGTGGTGCGATCATGCTCACTGCAACCTCCACCTCCTGAGTTCAAGTGATTCTTGTGCCCGAGCCTCCTGAGTAGCTGGGATTACAGGTGCCCACCACCACCACACGTGGCTAATTTTTGTATTTTAGTAGAGATGGGGTTTCAGGCAGCCTCCCAAAATGCTGGGATTACAGGCGTGAGCCACCACACCCAGCCAAGTGTTTATGTTTTGATTTATGCTCCTAGACTCATAGTTCACTTTTAGTGTTTTTTCTCCTGATGTTTTATGTTAATTAAGCACAGAAAGTACTTTGTTAATATGTTCTGAGCTCTAGTTTTGGGTATTAATTATAACTTGTAATGTTCAATTACTTAGTTTTGAGCATAACATATTAAGTAATTTTTGAAAGAATAATAGTGCTGTTCTAACAGCTGAATTTGTTTTGCTTCAATGCTCATTAATAATAAAACTAAAATTTTCGCCTTAGAATCATAAAATTAATTGATTGTGAAGTTTTTATGATTAAAAAAATTATGATCCTGATAAAAAGTGGCTTTATTAACTGAACTAATAATAGAAAATTGCTTTTATGATCCCCTAAGTATGGAAGACAAAATATGGCTTGTAGTTATTATGACAAAATCAGGTTGAGGCAAGACAGAACTAATGAATGTCCAAAAACTTCACGTTTACAATGGAGTGGCTAAACAACAGTAACCACCCTAATGTTTAATACATGAGAAAAATAATATTTAAACAGTAGAACCTGTTGTGAGGAGGAATAAAAATAATTATCTTTGTATATGTATGTTTCTTTGTTATTGCTCATTGTTTTCTCTAGTGATCTCATCTCAGTGATTAAATCTCAGTGATTCTTACAACCTCTGTTGTCCCACTATTCAGTCTTCTTGATCCTACTTTTTAAAATCTCTGATGAACTTGAGCTTCTCTCCGTACTCTGCATCTGCTCAAACATTTGAGTGCTTTGATTACTGGTCCACATGCCTATTAACGAAACAAGCAGCCCAGGCTTCGCAGGATGGCTGAGTGGGACTACATGTGTGAAGGATGTGTGTGGTAGAACCTGGTATAAATGCTAACAGATTCTGAACCATAGATCCTGGCAGGCATGTGTCATCAGTTACTGTGCATTGTACTTGCTTGTTATGAGTTCTCCATGCCCTTTTTCAGAGATTTTAAAACATTTAATATGGTATATATCAGCATCAGTCTCATATAACCTGATATTTTCTCCTCAATTTGTGTTTTAAGGTGGTCCTGCAGTTGAAATAACTGGAAATGATGAATACCAGTGCTATCGGATTTTATTGCTCCAACTTATATGGCAGAGTGAATACTGTGTGTTCAGAAATGCTGCGATGTCTTGACTGTTACACCAGGCTGAGAAAGCGGCAGTGTTGATATTATAAAGATAAAAATTTATCAACATTCCTTAACAGGAAATTACATGGTTGAGAGGAAATGCATAAAATGAAAGATGAAAAATCCATAGTAGCAGTTTATATTTTCATGATTGTTTTGCTTCATTTATTAAATATTTGAGAAATCTTTGGAGATACACAGTTTTATTGAAAGCTAAAAATAAGTTCTAATGTAATGTAAACATATAAAGCACAAATATACTTGAATATTGCTTAAAGAATTATGTGAATAGCAACTTATATTATGGATATATAATTACTTTGTCATATTTTTAAAAATTAACTTTTTCAAAGAATGTATTAGCTGCATATATAACTCAGGAGATTCCATATCTTTCTCATATTTCAGAGGAAAGATTATAAAATGTAAAATTTCTTAGAGACTATCTCTTTGTTGGAGACAAACAAGAACAAATACTCTAAACTTATGTGAACAATTTTGAGTTTATGAATTCTAGAAACTAAAATCTCTACAATATAGAAAAATGAAAGTAACATTGTTACTTCTGCATTTCTATGTTTGGGAAACATTGCTCTGATAAAAAATAGATGTCATTGTGCAGTGTGTATGTTATTCAAATATCAGATAAGATTATGTCCAGGTCCACTTTTGTTAATAAACTCAATATTGAATACTTTTGGATGTTAACAGATTCATTGGAAAAACAAACCATTTGTAACCTCAGTTAACTTTAAAAACAAGTATTCTGAGCAAACGAAAAGTGTCTTGTTTTATTTTTATATATTACTTTATTTTAAATGACTCCAAATAACTCAGTAGTTGTACATAATTATACATAAGTCAATAATACATAATTAATAGGTGCTGGCTATTTGCAAGCCATATGGCTCATTAGAGTGTCAGATTATTCTTTGAGGCATCCAGAGCAATTATTACTGTTCTCATCATACAGATGAGGATAGGCTTAGAGAGTTTTAATAAATATCTGAGTGTGATCTAAACAGTGCTACTCAAAAACTGCCAAAAAGTACAGTTCTGTCTGTGAACTGTTTGTTACAGGTCAGTGATTTAATAAGGAGCTTGGGCTAGAAAGCGTTATCAGTATACTGCTTTCTTCATCGAGAAATTTTGTATCAGCTGAAGCAAACAGTGTGCTTAGTGCGGTAGTTGATTTACCTTCTTATGCAAGTTCTTTGTTGTTATGGGCCAGTAACGGTTTGTAGAACAGCACTTTGAGTAGCACTCATCATGAAGTCTCTTCTAAATTTCAGCTTTCCATGCAGTATCTTCTTTACAAGGAAAACATCTTGCTGTATTCAGTCTCCCCCTCACCACATGGTAACACTCCATTAGCATATTCAGCAGCTTTATTGAAATTGAATCTGTATACTAAATATTGTACATATTAAAGGTGTGCAGTGTGATGTTTTGACATGTATACATCCATGAAAACATCACCACAACTAGGATAATAAATATTTGATCACTCCTGATGTTTTCCTCTTTGTCCTCTGTAGTCCCTGCCCCTTCCATTCCCCACAGGTAACCACTGATCTGCTTCCTGTCACTACCAATCACTGTGTTTTTGAAAGTTTAGGGTAAAGGAATCAGGTAGTGTGTGCATCCTTTTCTAAAAAAAAAAAAAAAATCTGGCTTCTTTTAGCATTATCTTGAATTTCATCTATGTTGCGTGTATCAGTAGTTTATTGTTGGGAAGTATTATGCTATAGAGTTCTACCACAATTTATTCACCTATTGATTGATATTTTGGTTGATACAAGTTTTAGGCATTAGAATACACAGTTTCTTACATACATCTTTGAATGAACATATGCTTTTTCTTGAACAAGTACTTTAGAATGAAATGGCTGGATGATACGGTAGGTTTATTTTTTCAAGATACTACCAAACTTTAAAAAATTTTTTATTTGAATATTTTGGGGGGGTACAGGTGGTTTTTGCACATAAGTTATTTAGTGATGATTTCTGAGATTTTAGTGGACCCATCACCTGAGCAGTATACTGTACCCTAAATGTAATCTTTTAGCCTTCATGCCCCTCCCAACCTTCTTCCCCGAGTCCACAAAGTCCATTATATTACTCTTATGCCTTTGTATCCTCATAGCTTAGCGCCCACTTATAAGTAACAACATATGATACTTGGTTTTCCATTCTCAAGTTACTTGACTTAGAATGACTGCCAAATTTTTCAAAGTGATTTTACCATTTTGTATTTCCATTGCAGTCTATGAGAGTTCCAGCTCCATCCTGCCAACACTTGACATTGCCAGTCTTTTAAATTTCAGTTATTTTAATATGTATGTGTCTCACTGTGGTTCTAACAGTATTTAACAAATTTTCCTAATGACCAATGATGCTGAGCATGTTTTCATGCGCATATTTGCCATGTATACATCTTCAGTGATGTGTCTGCTCAGATCTGTTGCTCATTTTTCAATTGGATTTTTTGTTTTCTTAGTATTGCGTTTCAAGGGCTCTCTTATTCTGAATACAAATCCTTGATCAGATATATACCTTGCAGATACTTCTAATCTGTGGCTTATCTTTTCTGAACCATGTAAACTAATCTTATATTTTTTAAAGCAGTTTTAGATAAAAATTTAAAAGATAGTACAGAGCTTCTATATTATTAACATTTCACATTAATACAGTGCATTTGCTATAGTGAACTAATACTGACACATTATTGTTAAGTAAATTCTAGAGTTTATTCAAACTTTCTAAGTTTATATATATATATATATATATATATATATATATATATATATATATATATTTTTTTTTTTTGCCTCAGGATTCTATCCTAGGTAGCATTATTACATTTAGTTGGGATGTTTTGATGACCTTGACAGTTCTGAAGAGTGCATGAAATACTTTGTAGGATGTCTTTCTCTGTTGGAATTTGTCTGATGTTGTTTTCTTCATGATTAGACTTGGGTTACGGGTGTTGAGAAGGAAGATCACAGAGATAAAAAGCCATTTTTATCACATCAAATCAAAGGTACATACTGCTAGCATGATTTATGACTTGACATTAATCTTGATTACCTGGCTGATGTACAGGTGTCCTCACTGTTAACTGACTCTTCATTTTCCTCTTTTCCTACTGTACTTAAGGAAATCACTGTAGTTCAGCCCATACTTAAGGAGTGGGCAGGTGTGCTCTCTCTTTTTGGGGTTGGAGTATCTACATAAATTGTGTGGAATTTTTTACATATTTGTCTCTTTTCTACTATTGAGATTTCTACTTATGATCAGGATGGACTCATACTTTGGGTTATAATTCAGTACTGCTTTGTTACTCAAATTGTTCTAGGCTTGGCCATTAGGAGCTCTTTCACTTGGCTCCTATGTCCCTTTGACAATATTCCCATCAATGAGAGTGGACTTTTAATTTTTTTCAGGGAAGCGAGGTACATCTTTTTTCTTTTATCTTGGAAAGTTATTTCCTTACTCTCTGGCAGTACAAGATGCTTCAGGCTCATCTTGTGTATTTTCTGCCCAATCCTAAAATCAGTTATTTCTCCAAGGAACTCTCCTTTTATGGAAGAATAGTGTTAGAAACCAAGCTAGGTGTGCTCATTGCTACTGAGGTGTTACTTCTTTTAGGCTCTTTCGGTGCTGACAGAACTAAGAAATATGTGCATGTGTAGTAATCTGTGTATTTACATATACCTATAAATATGCGAGCATACATATCTATATTAAGCTAAACAAGCTCATATTGATGTCTGCAAATCTAATCCATTACATGGATTATTCTAGCCTCCTATCCTTTCTTATCTACAAATTTCAATTCCCACGAGAAATGGATTAATCCATTTGGAGTAGGTTTCTGTGTATGATGTCAAATAAGGGTTAGGTTCATTGTTTTACATGTGGGCATTCCATTTTCACAGCACCATCTGTTGAGACTGTCCTTTCCCCATTGTGTATTTTTGGCACCCTTGAAGATCAGTTGACTGGATAATGTTGATGTACTTCTGAGTGCTCCATTCTATTTCATTAGTCTCCATGCCTACTTTTATGTTACTTCTTTGCTGTTTTGATTTTTGTAGATTTTTTTCATACATTTGTAGGCACCCGTCAGGAACTACAAGGCCTTCATCTTTGTTCTTTCTCAGGATTGTGTGTGTGCGTGTGTGTGTGTGTGTGTGTATGTGTTTTTCTAGTAGGAGTCTTTGTGATTCCTTTGAATTTTGGGATTGCTTTTTCCTATTTCTGCAAAAAATGCTGTTGGGATTTTGATAGGGATTGCATTGAATCTGTAGATTTTTTTGAGTAGTGTGGATATTTCAAAAATATTAAATCTTTAATTTATAATGAATACTGTCTTTTATTTGTGTGTTTTCTTTAATTTCTTTCTTCCTTTCTTTCTTTTTTTCCCTTGAGGAATCTTGCTCTGTCGCCCAGAGTGGAGTGAAATGGCGCAATCTTGGCTCACTGCAACCTCCACCTTCTGGATTCAAGCGATTCTCCTGCCTCAGCCTCCCAAGTAGCTGGGATTACAGGCACGTGCCACCACAGCCAGCTAAATTTTTGTATTTGTAGTAGAGATAGGGTTTCACCATGTTGGTCAGGCTGGTCTCGAACTCCTGACCTTGTTATCCGCCCTCCTGCCCTCCCAAAGTGCTGGGATTACAAGTGTGAGTCACCCACCAGGCCCTTAAATTTCTTTTGGCAATATTTTGTAGTTTTCAGTATGTAAGTTTTCTGCCTCTTAGGTTATGTTTGTTTCTAAATATCTCATTCTTTTTGGTGGTATTGTAAATGGGATTTCCTTAATTTTTTTTTTTTTGCCTTGTTCATTTGTAGTGTATAGAAATACAACCGATTTATGTATGCTGAATCTGTATTTTGCAACTTTACTGAATTCTTTGATTCTAACAGGTTTTTTAAAATAAGGTTTTCTACATATAAAATCATATCATTAATGGACGAAGATAATTTTAGTTATTTCTTTCTGATTTGGATGCCTCTGACTTCTTTTTATTGCCTAGTTGTTCTAGCTAGGACTTTCAGTTCTATATTTCAGAAGTGGTTAAAGTAGACATCTTTGTCTTCTTTTTGATCTTAGAGAAAAAGCGTTCAGTTTTTCACTAAGTATGATTTTAGCTGTGGGTTTTCATATGTGGCCTTTATTATATTTAGATAGTTTCTTTTATTTCTAATGGTTGAAAGTGTTTTTTATCATGAAAGGGTGTTGATTTTGTCAAATGCTTTTTCTGAATCTATTGAATTCATTATGTGATTTTTATCCTTTTCGTTAACGTGGTGTGATTGATTGATTGATTTTTCATATGTTGAACTATCTTTGCATCCCAGGGATAAATTTCACTTGAACATGATGTTCGATTTTTTTTTAATATATTGTTGAATTTGGCTTGTTAGTGTTTTGTTGAGGATATTTGTACCTATATTTGTAGGGATATTGGCATATGGTCTTTTTTGTCATATCTTTGGGTTTAGTATCAACATCATGGTGACTTCGTAAAATGAATTTGAAAGCGTTACCTCCTCTTCAATTTTTTTGGAAGAGTTTGAGGAAGATCGAGTTCAATTCTTCTTTAAGTGTTTGGCAGAATTCTTCAGTGAAGCCCTCTGGTCCTTGGCTTTTTTGTATTGGGAGATTTTTTTATTACTGACTCAATCTTGCTAGTTGTAAGTCTTCATATATTCTATTTTCTCATGATTCAGTCTTCATTGGTTGTGTGTTTCTAGGAATTTGTCCAT